ATCCTGATAGCCCCGTACTGGCCCCGCCAGCCATGGTTCATTCACCTGGTCTCGATGTCGTTGGACATGCTCCGCCTTCCTCTCCGCCCAGATCTCCTCTTGCTCGACCACGGCCTCGGTCTTCACCCAGATGTCGCCTCTCTCAGTCTTGCGGCATGGAGAATACTCCCGATGTGATGCAGGTTCTTCTTCAAGCCCGAAAACCTTCCACTACTCTCCTAAATGAAAATAAATGGAACCCTTTTGTAAAATATACTCATGACAATAACTTACCTGCCATACCTGTCTCTTTGAAGACTCTGCTCGATTCCCTCCTGCATCTCTTCAGTTTCAGCCTTTCCAGTCCACATTGAAGGTTTATCTTTCAGCCATTATGGCTCATCAGCCAGATGATTCTCCCTCCTCCAAGTTGTTTTCTCACCCAACTGTCAAGAAGTTCCTCAAAGGGCTCAACAACATTTGCCCTCCTCAACAACGTATCATCCCGCAGTGGTCACTGCAGCTGGTTCTCAATGTCTTGATGCGGCCTCCGTTTGAGCCCATGGCGTCCATCGACCTCAAATTCCTGACCCTTAAATCAGCCTTCCTTGTTGCAATCACATCAGCCAAACAGGCCAGTGAGCTCGCCGCTCTTCGAGCTGATCCTCCCTTTATCCAGTTTCACCCCGATAAAGTGACTCTTTATTTTGATGTTTCCTTTCTCCCGAAGGTGGTCTGTGACTTCCACCTCAACCAACCCATCATACTACCTTGCTTCTTCAAGTCTCGTTCTTCGCCCCTAGAACATATGCTCCATAATCTCAATGTCAGACGTTCCCTGGCTTACTACGTCGAAAGGACAAAAACCTTTAGAAAGTCCAATAAACTTTTTCTTTGCTTTCACGGCCCACACAGAGGGGCCCCAGCCTCCTCTCAATCCATAGCATGTTGGACTGTACAGACTATTTCCCTTGCTTGCAGCCTGTCAGGGAAATCCCCTCCAGAACATTTGACAGCTCATTCTACCAGGGCGCTGTCCACCTCTACTGCCTTTCAACGTGGCACCAAGGTTCCTGACATCTGTCGTGCCGCTACATGGTCCACACCGTCCACGCTTGTCAAACACTACCGCCTGGATGTCAGAGCACGCCAAGAGGCTGCATTTGGCAGAGCTGTCCTGTCATCCTTCTTACCATGACGACCCACCAACCAGTAAGTGCAGCTTGCTAGTCACTCTGTGCATTCACAGAGGCCACGAAAAAGAAAAAAGAGGTTACTTACCTGTAACCATAGTTCTTTGAGTGGTCCTCTGTGAATTCACACAACCCGCCCATCCTTCCCCTCTATCCGTCACAGGTTGATTATATAATTAATTAATTCTTTCCTTCATACCCGGCGGATAAAATTCAGGAACTGGGGAAGATGGTGGGTGGGAGGAGCATATACCTCATGGAGGATCACACCATAAAATTGTTACTTTTAGCTCTAGAATATTCCGAGAGAGTCAGCGCAGGCGCAGACAATACCCATATGTGTGAATTCACAGAAGACCACTCAACTATGGTTACAAGTAAGTAACCTTTTTTTTAGGGGGCTTTTTCTTTTAATATTTTCAGACTGTGGATAAGTGAATCAGTGGATATTGGTCCTGCAGATAAGGGAGTCCTACTGTTTTCACCAGTTATTACTGTGTTAATTAACAGGAGAGGTGCTACGCATGCATCTCTTCAGCATATCTACATACAGTGGTGCCTCGCTTAACGATGTTAATTGGTTCCCAAAAAACATTGCTATGGGAAAACATCGCTAAGCGAAACACCATTTCCCATAGGAATGCATTGAAAACTGGTTACTCCGTTCCAATGGGAATGGATTACCGTCCTTAAGCGAAAATCGCCATAGGAAACATCGCTAAGCGAAACAATGTTTCCCCCATTGGAATGCATTGAAGCCTATTCAATGCATTCCAATGATTTTGCGATGTCCGTTTTTGCTATTTTTAAAGTGTCTTACTATGTTCAAAAACTGTTTTAAATGCTTGGGATCGTTAGTGCACCTTGTAAAACCTTTGCAAACTTAATTTGGCTTTGTTCTGACTCTTCGTTAATTTTTGGTGGATTTTTTTCTCCCCCATTGGAATGCATTGACTGCAGGTTTGACAGAGTCAGAACAAAGCCAAATTAATTGTTCATTAAAATGTACTATGTCTTCCCTTAAAGTCATAGTTTTAAAGATGCAAGGCAAGATTTCTGTAGAACAGACAGTTGCATCCTTGAGCATGCCCCTGCCTAAAGCATGCCCCTGCCTAAAGCCTAAAGCATCAGTCTCCTTTAATTTGCATTAAAATATAAGTAAACATGTGCGTTACAAATACTATGGAAGATTCAGTATTCGGTTCCTCCCACAATATTTACCTGGGGTTTAGTATCCTCCTACAAACTGATAACTAAGATACGTTCCATTTACTTAAGTGATGCAGAAAAGTTGTTTGTATTTCTTGCTTGTCTTTTCTACGTGACATTTTAATATTCTTGAGTAGTGATGCAGAGGTGTCTGAATAATGTTATTTGCCAGCCTGCTTCCTCTGCATGTGCCTCCTCCTTGTCAAGTGTCATATTCTATGTTTATTTCTGTCACATTACTTATAAGTAGTTTGAATATGTTTTCTTAATAGAATAGGATTAATCGAGTGGCTTGAGAATACCTGCACTTTGAAGGAATTCCTTTTGAATAGCATGTCTGAGAAGGAAAAAAATGATTATAACAGGTAATCCTGCATTTTTTTTGCAAGTGGGTTGTTAAGGTATTTGTTGGAGATTGTTAAAGGTATGTGATAGTTGTCTTTTATACTTACTGTAGTAATATATATTGGAACATTTAATAGTCAGCTTTAGAAGTCAAAGGTACTTCCTGCCCTAGTTTAATAATTGGCAGTTGTTTGTTTAATGGTGCTACTTCACCTCTAACCCATATTCTCTGCCAATGCATTGAAACAGAACATGTACTGTCACCTGTGGCTCTTCATCATCACCATTTTCTTATCAACAGACTGATTTTTTTTACAAGCAAAGGCGTTTTAATTTTAGTTTTATTAAGCAGGAAGTGAACTTTAAACAGAACGGTGAGGAATCCAAGTGCCCACTCAGCACTGAACCCTGATCAGGAGAAGTGAGCTGGAATTCCTGTGGTGAGGAAGGGACCAAGGAGAGCCTCTCAGGAGCCACCACTCATATAATGCAACTGTGTAAAAGCCAAATCTAAGCCATTTTTCTTATGAGAACATGATTTAATGCTGAAAATAGCTCTTATATATTGACAGGTGTTGTACAACTGCATCTATGAGTGAGTACTAGGTTGCATTAAGCTCTTTTGCCCAAATCCTCATGTCTGACCACCTATTTCAGCAGTTTTCTCCATATTAAATCTATGACAAGATGCAGTTCAACCAATGAATCCATCATGGTTGGATCTGAATTTGTAAAGTAGCGGTAGCACTTCAGCTGTAGACTGTTCTAAAACAATAATCCAGTTGAACATTTAATCAGTATTTCATGTCTTCTTTTACTTTGTTCACAAGAATGGTAAATACCGTACTTTCTTTAATAATTGTAGTAAGGAAAAAAATGTGAATATTTGCCCATTATGAAATAGTATGTTTTCCCACGGGCATTTACTGTAAATGATTGCTGGACTTATTTGCAATAGTTTGAGATGATAGGATCCAAGCCAATATAATTAGCAATGAATTGTTAATTTTTTAAAAAAATTAAAGAATGGTGAGAGTGCTAACAAATGCAACAGTTGCTTTCAGATAAAGAGGGATAAATTTTCAGATAATGTGTTTCTCAAGCAGCCCCCCCCCAAAAAAAAAATGCTGGGTATTGTTAATGGTATGAAAGCATTTTAAAGAGGTATATAGTGAATGTTTACAGTGTGTACCATGGTTTAGTATGTTGCTCGCTGAGGATAAACTACCTATGGTTGTAAGTTCCGTAGCAAAAGGATTAGTCCACAAATCCTTAGTAGGAGCATGTCAGATGGAAGAAGGCAGAAGAAAAGTGGTAAAACTTGCTTAATGTGAAATTCTGTAAGCTAGAATTAGGGGCATTTGGTCTGTTTAAACAGGAATTTGCTATAGATGAGCATTCACTCTACTCCTTATAGTAGGATAAGTACTCAGTTTTCTATCACATTTGGAAACAGTGCCTCTGATTAGTATACCATGCAAAATGGTTTGGTATAGTAATTGCTCTTTCATACAATACATTATGTGTTCCCACATAATAAACCAGGGATCTGCTGGAACCCTCACTTATTGGTTCTGAGCAGTGTGACAGCATATGCAGGTTGATTGCTTCCACTTGCAATGAGCACAGCACTGAATAAACTACAGGCTGAGGTTCCAAAGGTTCCCACAGTTCTTACTTAACATGTCTTGTGAACTAAGCTATAGTGTCTTGATGCTAAAGATTCAGAAAAAGAGCTTGTGACATGTGCTTCTCAGGCAACATAGACTTGAACTGCTTGTGAAGTGTTCTTTAAAAAAACAAAAAAAACCCTCCTGTTTTCTCTTTACTAGCTCCACAGGTCCTCGTGCTGATTACAGTGACTGGCTTTCCAGAATGGGGGGAAGAAATGAAGTTGTTGCACGTTACATGCCAATGTACAAGTAGGTCTGAACATAATGGTGACCTGTTAGCAGTCCTCCCCTAATAACTGGTGGCAGAGAGATTCTGGTTGCGCTGCCATCTTTAACCCACCAACAGATACTGTTCTATTTAGGACAGACTGGAAGTCAGAGCACAGTTTCCTCTGCCTCCTCAGAGTCAGCAAATTCTGCCACAGTTTTGTGAGTGCACATACACGTTGCCCACCCACCTACCCCATTCAGAAGACACAGCTATTTCATTCATTCATTCAATTTTTATACCTCCCATCTAGCTACCAAGACAGTTTACAAATGCCATCATTAGAAAACAATACACAAATAGCTGATTAACAACTAAGTTCAACACTAACGAAAATAAAATAATTAAAATAATAAAGGCATGGCAAAGGGTTGAATGTATAGTTATTAAAAGCACCACTATATTAAGATCCAGAGTTCAGGAGAAGGCCTGATTCCTGGTCATTTTCCGGGCCTCTCTGAGGGCCAAAACCCTCAACCACCCGGCTTGATTATTAAAAGCACCACTATATTAAGATGTTCCAGAGTCCAGGAGAAGGCCTGATTTCTGGTCGTTTTCCGGGCCTCTCTGAGGGCCAAAACTCTCAACCACCCGGCCTGAGAAGATCTGGACAGATAGATCTAGTCAGAAGGAGGTGTTCTGCCAAATATCAAGGTCTTAAACCATTTAGGACCTCATAGGTTAACACCATCACCTTGAAGCTGGCATGGAAACAGACAGGTAACCAGTGCAGGGTGGCCAGAGAGGGGAAAATGTATTGATGTCTCCTGACCCCACTCATTAATCTGGCCACCGAGTTCTGGACCTGCTGAAGTCTTTGTAGCAGCCCCACCTAGAGGGCATTAGAATAGTCAAATCTCAAGACCACCAATGCATGAACCAGTGTGGTGAGAGACCCAGTGTCAAGGTAGGGACGCAGCTGGGCAATCTGCCTTAGATGGAAATAGGCGGAATGGATCACAGATGCTATCTGAGATTCTATTGACAGCGCTGGGCCCAGGAGTATGCCCAAGCTGTGCAACTTATCTGTTGTGGAAAGAGTGGCCCCCCCAAAGGAGAGTGAAGCACCCAGACTGCAAACACTAGGGGCACCCACTCGCAGGATTTCTATCTTGCCTGGGTTCAGCCTCAGTCTGTTATCCCTCATTCACTCCAGCACAGTGTCTAGGCAGCGCTCAAGGTACAGGACAGCATCCGCTTTTTTATGTGCAAGACACAAGAATTTTCCTCTGGACCCTGATGATAAACCCTTTCTATTAGAGGCAATAATTTTGCTGTTAATCCAAATGTTTGAAAGCTTGTACTTAACTGTGTTCTTTCTGATTCACCAAATGTCTGCTTTTCATCTGGGACTCAGCTAATTTGTCAACCTCCATGGTTTAAATCAGAGGTTCCCAACCTTGGGCCGCCAGATGTTCTTGGACTACAACTCCCAGAAATCCTGGCCAGCAAAACAAGTGGTGAAGGCTTCTGGGAGTTTTCGTTCAAGAACATCTAGGGACCCAAGGTTGGGAACCGCTAGCTTAAACCACCTATCGAATTTGAGGACTTTGGTTTTTCTGAAATACTGAAAACCCTGCATATTTTGTGAATTTGTATTTGAAGTACCTTTGGGTTTTGGATTGAGAGCTCTGTGTTGATTGTTTTAGTTCACTCTGTGAGCCAGGTAAATAGCCTATCTTTGGAGTCAATCTAAAAACTGGTTCAGTTCAACTGAATTAAATGTGTGATTACTGAAAACACATCTTCTGAATAATACCTGATTTATATTGATTTGTCCACTACTAAATAACATCATTACCTCAAGGAACTTGCAATCTGAACAAGTGAGCAATTTCAGTGGGCTCTGGAGCTAAATTCTTTACCATAGGCCACCACTCTGGACTTGGAAATGGCTATTTAAATAACACAAAATATTAAGTACCCAGTTAGACACTTCTGGTTTTTTGTTTTGTTTTTGTTTTTGTGGGATCTGAGGATATGAGGAGGAGGGGAACTTGGCCTTTAACCCTCTGCTCCTAGAAATAGGCATTTTGGAGTAAAAAAAAGAGACACAAATCTGAGACATTTGTTTTCCATGGGGAAGATTAAAGGGTGGCCTTGGGGACCTCCAAAAACCACCTTCTTTTAAAGATTGAGTGTGGAGAGAAAATAGAGCATTTACTGGAGGGAGCTTTGAAATTAATGCTAATTGAATATTTAGCAAAACAGTTGTTTCTGATTTATTCCTCACCCTTTATTCGAATCTAGTTTCTGACTGTACTGTTCTAATTAGCCATGTTTTGCTCACTTCTAGAAGAGCCAGTCGTTCAGAAACAGTGATATCTTTTCAGCGCCGAGAGAAACGTGTTCCTGAAGACCTCCTTAGGTGAGAGTGTTTTCAACATGTTACAGGCTTTGATTAGTCAGATGATACATTACAAATAATCGCATGGCATCTTTGAAACTTCACTCCATACATGAGATTTTTTACTTCCTTAGACTTGAGATTCCAGAGTTCAGCAGGAATCCCCCCAGCTGGAATTCTGGAAGTGTTAATCAAGAAATCAAAGTCCTGGCAGGTGCTCTCAAGTAGTTACAGCTGGTTAATTAAGACTCTGGAAGCCATGTGTTCCTGTGGGTGGGATCAGGCTCCATGGGAGTTGAAAGGAATTAAGGAACTGGTAGTTTCTGCCCATTAGGATCTTTGCAGAATGCATGCTTGAAATTTGGAGACAAGATACAGTTGCTAGGCTACACTTTGGTGACTTATTTGTTTATTTACTTATTGAATTTATATCCCACCCATCTAGATATAGTCTACTCTGGGCGGCTTACAACAAATTAGAATTAAAACAATTAAAACATTCAGTACAACCACAATTTAAGCATAGTAATAATAGTGTAGCTCAAGATGGAAAAGTTATGAAATGAAAAAGTAAAGACAGAAAAATAAATTAGAAGTAAAGCTCAAGTACTGACAATGAAGAAGGCCTGCCTGAAGAGCCAGGTCTTAAGTTGACTCTTGAAAACACCCAGCGAGGGAGCCTGGTGAATCAGAGACAGAATACTAGTCGAGGGGCCACTGCCAAGAAGGCCTGGTTTCTTGTTCTTTCTTTCCAGGCCTCCCTCGGAAAAAGGCCCCTCAACCGTTCCTCCTGACTATGATGAGTGATATGAGTAGATCTAGGTGGGAGAAGGCATTCCGCCAAATATTGAGGTCCTAAAACGTTTAGGGCTTTGTATGTCATCATTAGAACTTTGAAATCAATGCGAAAACTAACGAGCAGCCAGTGCAAAGCAGCCAATGTCAGAGAGATATGCTGATGTTTTCTAATCCAAGGTTGGGATTCAGCTGTGCAATCCGACACATATGGAAATAGGCAGAGCGGACCACTGATGCCACCTGGGTGTCCCAGATCCAGATGGACCCCCAAGCTCTGAACCTCACTCTTCACAGTGAGAGTCACTGCCCCAAAAGAGAGGGAGTTTCCCAAACCACCAATGGATGGGCCACCCACCCTCAGGACCTCTGTCTTGTCCGGGTTCAGCCTCAGTCCATTCACCTGCATCCATTGCAGTACAATCTCCAGACAGTGCTCTAGGGACAGAACAGCATCCACCAAATTAGATGAAAAGGAGAGGTAGAGCTGAGTGTCATCAGCGTACTGATGGCACAAGGCCCCCACCCCCTGATGACCCCACCCTGCGGCCTCATATAGATATTAATCAGCATTGGGGAGATAGAGCCCTGGGGAACCCCACAATTGAGACTCCATGGGGCCAAACACGCTCCCCAATCTGTACTCTCTGAGGACGGTCCCCCAAGAAGGAACAGAACCAGGCCAGCGCCAGGCCACCAATTCCCAACTCGGAGAGCCTCCCCAGGAAGATACCGTGGTTGATGGTATCGAAGGCAGCTGAGATGTCAAGAAGGACCAACAAGGACGTTTTGCTCCCGTCAGCCTCCCTCAATAGGTCATCCATCAGTGCAACCAATGCTGCTTCTGTGCCATGGCGTGGCCTGAAGCCTGATTGGAACAAGTTCAGAGCATTAGTTTCATCCAAAAGAACCGGAAGCTGATCAGCCACCACCCTCTCCACCACCTTACTAAGGAAAGAAACACTGGCAACGGGCCTATAATTGCCAATATTGTCCGCCGCCAAATTAGGTTTCTTCCTAATGGGCCTAATGAGCGTCTCCTCAAGGGGAACCTTGCCCTCCTGGAGAGACCCATTGCTGTAGCCCATTCAATTGTTATAGGCCTGGCTGCTTTTATCTAAGTGTAAATTTGTGTGTATATTGTTTTTCTCCAGGAGAGCCTTTATTAAGATGAGTACAACTCCAGAGGCTTTGCTGTCTCTGCGATCCCATTTTGCCAGCTCTCATGCATTGATGTGCATTAGCCACTGGATTCTTGGTATTGGAGACAGGCATTTATCCAATTTTATGATCAGCATGGAGACAGGTGGCATGGTGGGAATAGACTTTGGACATGCATTTGGTTCAGCTACACAGGTATTTTCCCTTTGTTGCTGTTTTCTCAAAGATTATATCATGCATTTAGCTTTTTTAAAAAATGCGCAGTGTCACTGTAATATAGTAGAAAAACAAATAAAACAGGACTGGGGAACTTGCTATTCTTCACAAACCTATATTCCTTTCCAGTAGTCATGGCGGCTAGTTATATGGCAGTTCCTGTCCATCAATATCTGGAAGGCCATGCTGTTCTGTGTAGGACAAACAAAAAAAGATAAATTGGCAGATCTTGTTTGCATTTTGGATTTTTTCAAAAGTTTTTATTTTCATTTTTCTTTTATGTAGTTTCTGCCAGTGCCAGAGTTGATGCCTTTCCGTTTGACCCGTCAGTTCATTAATTTGATGTTGCCCATGAAGGAGTCAGGTCTTATTTACAATGTGATGGTGCATTCCTTAAGAGCCTACCGTGTGGATCAAGATGTTCTTATTAATACCATGGACGTATTTGTGAAGGAGCCTTCATTGGATTGGAAAGTAGGTTCTCTTATTAATATTTTTCTATCTAAGCAAAAAAAGATAAATGGTTTCATGTAAGAGATGGTGTGGATTTGAAAGAGACAGTAGAGAGAGAATGGGAGGAAGCTCCTTCACATACTCTGCTGATGGGATGAAAGAGCTTAACAAATCTGATTCATTCTCTGGATCTGCTCCAGTTGGGACTAATAATTTGATGTATCTCTTAGACTCCTGCACCTCAATTTGGCTGATCATTCAAGTTAAATGAGAAACAGGCACCTAGTAGGCCATTTTGTTAATGCCTTTCATCAATCATGGACGGTATTGGGATCTTGCTGCGTTACTGTGCTCCCTGTGACCCAGCCACCTCCATACCGGAGCTGGTGGACTCTGTCTCCGTGGCACTGTTGGAGTCCCCGAGACTTTTGGTCCTGGGTGACTTCAACATTCATGCGGAGGCAGAGATTTCTAGTCCAGCTCTTGAGTTCTTGGAAATCATGGCTTCCTTGGACATGTCCCAACATGTTAACAGCTCTACACACGTGGACAGTCATACACTGGACCTGGTGTTCTCCACTGTGAGGAGCAAGTGTGGTCTGATGGGGACGGACCTCGGTTCAGTTCCCTTGTCATGATCAGATCCCACCTAATAAAATGTAACCTCTCAGTGGCTCTCCCTCCCTGCAGGGAGCATGGACCTATTTTAATGGTCTGCCCTCGAAGGTTATTAGATCAATGATGATTCCACGATACCATGAGAGGGATTCCAGCTGCTCTGTCTGGCGCTCTTGTCGAGGCTCTGGTAGATGGCTGGTTTGCTGCCGCCACTAGGGCTGTAAACACGATCGCTCCTAAACGCCCTCTCCGGCGCAGAGCTTGGCCAGGATCCTGGTTTAACCAGGAGCTGAGAGCTATGAAGTGAAATAGGAGACAGCTAGAGTGCAGTTGGAGACTGGAACTGATGGATTATAACAAGAAAGCTGTCAAGATCGTGACTAACCATTACCTTGCCAAGGTAAAGGCTGCTTGACGATCACACTTCGCTGACCGGATAAGCAAAGCTTCAAATCAGCAGGCGGAACTTTTCCATATTGTTTGCGATCTATCCAGAATTGGTCTCGGTGAGGGGCCTCTCCCTAGTATCTTCACCTGACCAATTTGCAGCATTTTTAAAATCTAAAGTGGAGGCCATCCGCTGGGATCTCTCTCCTTTTTTAAATACAGTGGCTCAAGCAGATATGTCCAGCACTCCGCCTTGCTGGGTGAGTCTTGAATTTTTCCAGCCTGTGACGCCAGATATGGTGGACAAAGCACTTGATCGCTGCTGGGCCACCATCTCCTCTCTTGACCCTTGTCTGGCCTGGCTAATCAAAGTAGCCAGGCCTGTAACAATGGAATGGGC